CCTGGCTAGTCAACACATGCTACATTTTCCTTTCACTTTAACTCACCATCTTCCTCTGCATTTTCTGTTATGAAGAGCTATGAAATTTGATCATGCTACTAATAGCTACACTATTGTACCTCACAGATGACTGCTTCTGATGGGATTCCTATCACTAATTTGTAAAGCACTCGGGGATCATCAGACTGGAAATACGTAGTAGTCCTACTCCTTGTCTGCTTGCTTCCTTGCAATTTGCTCAGATTTCTGGATTTTGAGAATTACGGGTATTCAAAACTTTGAAATTTCTTGAAGTAATTTTCTCACTACTTTTTCCTGTTTTTCAACAGCTAAGAGTTGACATTTTTCAAAATATAGATGAAACTGTATTAGTGCTAATAAACATATTTTAACTAGAAAAGTGGCCTCATACATATCACATTTCCTCCCAAATATTTCTATCATACATGCCCTGTTAAACTTCCAAACGATGAGAAGACAGAGGCTAGATGGTACCATAGCCTTATGGACTAACTTTTTGTTATGAGCATAAACTAAGCGAGTTTGGTATACATTTGCATATGAAATGGCTACTGAATATGCTATCAAGAGAGTAAGAAAGGATGTCAACAGTCAAATGATGGATAAAATATAAATCAGAGAGCCATTAACACTTTCTAAGCTAATAATTTTTATGCATGTGACAATATCTAAAGTCTTCAAAATATTGTACATATAGGAAAATAATATTTTCCCTAAAAAATTTACAAGCTAAAGAAACAAAAAGAACACACCCACATCAAAGGAAGGGCATGGGAAAGGGTATAAAAAGGATACAAGAGGCTGTTTCCCCCAACAGTTATGAAGGCCTCTCCAATCACATGATCTGATGAAGTGGGTCTTTGCCCCCAAAAGAGTATGCGCCAATAAATGGGCTAGTCTATAAGGTGCCACAGGACCTCATTGTTTATGCATGATTTCCTTGTTTCTAAGGAGTCGTCAATTATGCAGATTACTAGAACACATAATACTATGTTCTGAATTGAGTATTATATTCTCTTCCTTTTAAATATTACACCTAAAACATGCCAATCCTTTTTTTTGTTTTTAATTCAGTTGTGGTAAAAGATTCAAGGAAACAAGGAAATCCTCGCATCGACGTCAGCAAGATGTCGCAGCCTGACCTGACGCAGAAATTCGCAGAAGCGCTTGAGAAGGAACTTGACGCCACACAGACAGGAGACTCTGCCATGGGAAAGTGGGAAACACTGCGGAACATAATGCACTGCACTGCCCTGGCAACCTTTGGAAAGAGGACCATAAAGACGCACGACTGGTTTGAAGCAAAGTCCTCTGTGATGATTCCAGTCATAGAAGCCAAGCGCGCCGCCCTGGCAGAATACAAGCGGTCACCAAGCCAGAGGAACCTGCAAATTCTCAGGGCTACTAGGAGCAAGGCTCAACAGGTTGCCAGACACTGTGCGAACGAATATTGGCAGCAGCTCAGCAACGACATCCAGAAAGCAGCCATATCAGGGAACACAAGAGGCATGTACGACGGCATCAAGAAAGCGCTGGGCCCTACCAAGAGCAAAACAGCACCCCTCAAGTCATCTACTGGAGAAATAATCTCCGACAAGCAACAACAGTTGGGGAGATGGGTGGAACACTACTCTGACCTCTACTCCAGACGGAATACGGTGACCTCCGCAGCATTAGATGCCATTGAATGCCTGCCAATAATGGAAGAACTTGATGCAGAGCCAACAGTAGAAGAGCTCAGCAAGGCTGTTGATAAACTGGCCTCAAGAAAAGCCCCCGGCAGCGACGGGATTCCTCCAGACCTGCTGAAACAGTGCAAGTGTTCCCTACTGCACCCTCTTCACAAAGTGCTCTGTCAGTGCTGGAAAGAAGGAGCCGTACCGCAGGATATGCGGGATGCTAAGATCGTCACCCTCTACAAGAATAAGGGCGAGAGAAGTGATTGCAACAACTACAGAGGCATCTCCCTTCTTAGCATCGTAGGCAAAGTATTTGCTAAGGTCATCTTGACCCGACTGCAGAAGCTGGCTGAACGTGTCTACCCGGAGTCACAGTGTGGTTTCCGCGCAGAACGGTCAACCGTAGACATGATTTTCTCCCTACGACAACTCCAGGAGAAGTGTAGAGAACAGCAGATGCCCCTGTACGTCTCCTTCATTGATCTCACCAAAGCCTTTGACCTGGTCAGCAGAGACGGACTCTTCAAAATCCTTCACAAGATCGGCTGCCCCCCAAAACTGCAGAGTTTGATTGAATCCTTCCACACAGACATGAAGGGAACAGTGCAGTTTAACGGCAGTTGCTCCGAGCCTTTCAGCATCAGCAGCGGCGTCAAGCAAGGCTGCGTTCTTGCCCCCACATTGTTTGGGATCTTCTTTGCCCTGCTCCTTAAGCATGCCTTCGGCTCAGCAACGGAAGGAATCTACCTCCGCACCAGATCGGACGGCAAGCTATTCAATCTCTCTCGCCTCAAAGCCAAGACGAAGATACGCGAGACGCTGATCAGGGACATGATATTTGCCGACGACGCAGCAGTCGTCACACACACCCAGGAAGAACTACAGTCGCTGATGAGCCGTTTTTCCATGGCCTGCAAAGACTTTGGGCTGACTATCAGTTTGAAAAAAAACAAACGTCCTAAGCCAGGACACTGTCACTCCACCAGCCATCACAGTAGACGACTACCAGCTTGACGTCGTCCACCAGTTCACGTACTTGGGCTCCACCATCACCGATAATCTCTCCCTTGACGCTGAGCTCGACAAGAGGATCGGGAAGGCAGCCTCTACTTTAGCCCGCCTGACAACCCGAGTGTGGACCAACCCCAGGCTGACAACCGCAACAAAGATGGCAGTGTACAACGCCTGCGTCATCAGCACCCTGCTGTACGGGAGCGAGACATGGACCACATACGCGAGACAAGAGCGGAGACTGAACGCCTTCCATCTACGAGGTCTGCGCCGCATCCTGGGTATTACCTGGCAAGACAAAGTCTCCAACTTCGAAGTTCTGACTCGAGCCGGCCTCCCCAGCATGTACACCATGCTCCGACAACGTCGCCTGCGTTGGCTTGGCCATGTACGCCGCATGGAGGATGGGAGGATCCCAAAGGACATCCTCTACGGGGAACTGGCATCTGGGAAGAGAACCACAGGGCGCCCGAACCTGCGATTTAAAGATGTCGTGAAGAGGGACATGAAAGCCATCGACATAAACACGCAGTCCTGGGAAGACCTCGCAGCAGACCGCCCAAAGTGGAGGGGCACCCTGACCACACAGCTCAAGTCAGGCGAAACGAACATGATGCGTGCATCAGAAGAAAAGCGAGCCCGCAGGAAGTTACGCAACAACAACAGCCAGGGAACCACCTATAGCTGCGACTTCTGCGGCAAAGAATGCCTGTCCCGGATTGGCCTTTTCAGCCACCAACGACGCTGTCCCCGACGCTGTCCCAGACAATTCGACACGAACCAAGACGAGAACTAGGATACGTCATCCATGGTCAACTGACCGACGGAGGCCAACAACAACTCTGAGCCAGCACCTGAACACCTGGTTGGCAGCGAGCTGTAAGCCATCCCGTTTGCTTGATGAATCAGATTCCTAACCCTACAAGATCTTTTCACGTTGCCTCCTGAAATTTCCCCAGAAATCTCTCTCCACTTAACTTTGCTGTCTTTTAGGTGGGCAGTCTGCTTTTCCTGCTACTGGTGGGCAAGAAAAGTAAGGAAACCCTCCATCTCACACAGCCAACCCTCCATAAAACTCAGAAGCAGGAGGAAATAGCATCTTGTAAAGATTAGCTTTGTGGTGTCTAGGGGTTCTTCAGACCCCACACAAGATGATACATTTTGCAGATAAAGGCTAGTATTGAACTCCCTGGAAAATGTTTAATGTGGTTAGATACACAATAGCTACCTTTTAAAAACTTGCCAGTTATGCTGGATAAATTCTACTTCAGTGTTTATAGAATTCAAGCTGTAGAGAAGTGCAAATGGAGATAATACAGCAACCTTATCTATTTGTCTAAAGTAGAACTAACTAGTTTTTTGGGTGAACACTGCTCATATATTAAATGCAATCTCTTTCTCTCTCTCTCTCTCCTTTTGGAAATGCAAAAGTAAAGCTTTTCACTGCCATATTCTCAAATATAGAGCAGAAGGGAGATGCTGCTTTATTAGAGGTCTCATACTTTGGGTGAAACCAAGTGAAGTTCTGACAGTCCTTCTTAAAAGAATAGGCGGATAGTTTCCTGGCCTGGCCTGCATTCACTCTCTCAATATAACAAGATCTACAGCCCAAGGCTTTGGGGGAGCTAATACTGAGCAAACTATAGTTGACATGTTAGCCTGGACAATCTCTATACTAAATATACCTTACTCTTTTTACTAACCCTGGTAAATTATTTTTACAAATGTTTGTTATTTTAAGGAACTGTTTCTTTTTTTTTCATTATTTGCTGCATTCTTCTCATTACATTATACATTGTTAGATAGACATCAGAGATGAAAAATATTCAGTTACTAATGCTAACAATCTTTGCCAGACAGGAAATTGTAGTTACTGAAGGTTTGACTGAAATAAATGATGGCTAGTATTTGATTGGTCCTAGCACGAATGCTTGATCAGCAATGGCAAGGGTGAAATTTACTTCTTTCCAGACTAATGGTAATCTTGCTGGAGAGTAATTCTTTTTCTTTGTGCTTCGAGATCCATAGCGTTTTGATTGGTTTATTCTACCACAACACAGAATCAAATGGTCCAATCCTATAGTAGAATCCAGTTGCTCTAGTGATCTTTATCAGCTATCATAACGGTTCAAATTTGATTGTGTTGTATGGTTTTACAGTAAGAAATTATTTACAGAAGCAGAAAAATACTGAGCATCACTATCATACTTATTAGTAAATGCAAAATTGTTATATGTGCAGCTATATTTTCTTATTTTCTTATGCCCATTTATCTGTTTTATTTTGCAGTTTTCAGCGAAGAGCTACATGCCAGCCTGTATTTTGTCAATGCATCTTTGCAAGAGGTAGTGTTTGCTAGCACCACGGGGACACTGGTGCCCTGTCCTGCAGCAGGGATCCCTCCTGTGACACTCAGATGGTACCTAGCAACGGGCGAGGAGATCTATGACGTCCCAGGGATCCGCCACGTCCACCCCAATGGCACTCTCCAAATTTTCCCCTTCCCTCCTTCAAGCTTTAATAACTTAATCCATGATAACACTTACTATTGCACAGCTGAAAATCCTTCAGGGAAAATCAGAAGTCAGGATGTTCACATTAAGGCCGGTAAGTATGGTTCTTTACTTCATAACTCCAAGTTGTGAAAGGGGAAGACCGTGTGTTTCAGGCTAAAAGTGGTAGCCCTTGTGAACTGAAGTAAACGCTGGTCTAGGAGGGCAACCCCAAAAGTTCGTAAAATGAACTGAAACAATGTTGGTTTAATCTGTTTTTATGGAAGAGCAGTTAAAAGTCCTATCCCAAAGTCCATCCATAAAATGAGTTTTGAAAGATGCCAAGATGCCCAGCTGAACAATTAAAAACAGGCCATTCATCAGAATCTATTTACTCTTCAAAGAGATGGATATGGGAACTCTCCCTGCACTGCTTTTTTTTTTGGGGGGGGGGGGGGGGGGAAGGAATGGCTGATAGATGATATTCTTGCATAAAACTATTTTATCCTTATTTAGCCTGTCTTTGATTGTGACCCTGATTTGGGACTCTATAGAGATGAATGTGTATATTGATGTATAATAATAAAATGGTACAGTAAATACATAGGAATAGCTCCATGTTTATTAACTTAAATTACACAAAGGATTTTTTTGTATTGTGGGCAAAGCAGTTTAGCAACTGTTTTGTAAAAACTGGCCCACGAAAGCTCATCAGCTAATAAACCATCTTGTTAGTCTTTAAAGTGCTACATAGTCCTGTATTTTGTTTTCTGAGATGACTGAATAAAAAGTGGTTGACTCTAAAAGAGGGAGAATTGATTTTAAATGAAATTGGACTCAAGTCTGTTACTAGTACTACTATTCTATTAGTGTACAGCACTCTAAAACCTGGTATCTAGACATGAATCAAAAAATTTCAGGGGGCAGATTCTCAGCTGATGCAATTGTCAAAAATCCTGCAGTGACTTCCGTTTACCCCTGCTTAATCGCCAGTTTACATCAGTATAATTCATGCCATCTGAGAAGCTGTTCCAAAGAATATCTGCAATCCAACTGCAAACCATGCACAATGTAGTGCTTTGGGGTTGTGGCTCTTTGTATGATTCACTTGGCAAATAAGAAAAAGCACGTCTATGAAACATTATGCCTGCTAATAGTTTCTACTTCCAAACTTTTACTCTTACTAATGTTAAATATGACTTCAAAGGCATGCAAAGTGATAATTAAAAAGGACAAAGAAAAACTGACCTTCTCCAAAGATTAATAACAACGTACTATGCAAAACATACAGTCTACAAAAAAAATACATTCATTTTCTGTGCAGAATGTGCACTTTTTTGAACTGATGGAATCTGTAGACAAGAGATTTGATCTTTTTAGGGAGAGCAGATGTCTTATCAGCTTCCCTGTGTGGGTTTGCCAATGCATCTGTTTTCACTTCCTTTCAGTTCTTTCCTTGAGCTTCTTTTTAATCAGAAAATCTAAAGTGTTGGGTGGTTTCCTCATAAAATATTGCATGCTAATGATGCTTAAAGATTCAAATATGTGCTCAATTCACTATTCCTGTATGGACACACTAATGTGGCAGCTAAAAGACTATATCTTGAAACCTTGCTAACTAGAGCTTGTCTGCAGTGGCAAGGTACTGTGCTGTAATTTTCATACTCAGGGGTGTAAAGAAACACCCTAGCCCCAAGCACAGCAAGATACCGGGCTGTAAAGCGCCAGTGTAAATAGGCTCCCAGTGCTGTTAGCTACCGTCCTCATGGAGGTGGTTTACCTAGGGCACTAGGAGAGCTCCCTTCCCCCCTCATTGCTGTTGTGATCACACTTATTCCTGCCTTATAAAGCTCTGATGAAGCAATGAGGTGCATGCAGCTGCAAGTATCTATGAAGAAGCTGAAAATGTGTGCATATCTCCATTATACTCCCAGTCACGCAGATATACATACATAAGAAGTATTTCTGTAAATAAGCACTTGAATATGCAAATCATTTTCCTGTTCTGTCTGTGGCTTGTGGGATGACTAAAGACACTGCTTTAGTATCTAAGAACAGTCTATGTCACAAAGACATCAATTTGCTTAAATTAACAAGCATCAATAACATAAACAAAGGAAATAAAAGAATAGTTGTAGCCAGGGGCAGATGATTGTTTTTCGGGGCCCTGGGCAGCATAACTCCGCGGGGCCCCCCCTTTGCCACGGCGCATGCACACGTCTTTTTTAAACGCGGGACCTGGGGCGGCTGCCCCGTTCGCCCTGCCCTATATCCGCCCCTGGCTGTAGCCTCTGTAAAGGAAGGCTGCAGCATCTGACAATTCATATGACATCCTTTCTCCCCACGATCAAAACAGCCTTCCACACAGCCAAACCACCCAGCCTACCCAAGCCTTCATATAAGGCTTGGAGCACAAATCCATCCC